TAGTGTACGCAATAACCTTCTGACCACACCCGTGCTCAAAAACACAACCCCCCCCAGATATCTATCAATGTGCACAAACGCCTTCTGACTACCTTAAGTGATCGTTTGCAAATGCATTCATATACGTTCTTATATACAAATGCACATACATGCACACATTCACCTATCAATGCACGCACAGACCCTTGGACGACTCTCTATACACAAACGCACAAACACGTACACACAGCTATCCATCTGTACACACATCGTGTGGTTACAGGAATGGATCGCATCCAAATGCATTCACAGACGACTTTCCCTACAAATGCCTACAGACGCACACATTCATCTCCCCATATGACCAGATACCTCGTCACTGCATCATGTGCATATATACCCCACATTGACATATTGGATAATGCTCAAAACCCTCACATATATATATATATATATATATACCAAAGTATACAAACAACAACTATCTGTCTCTATATCAAAGTACACAAATAACCAATTATCTCTCTCTATATCATAACTTGCATATACCTTCTGACTACTGGCCGGTGCGCGTTCCGGCTGGCGGGATGCGAGAGCGTGCAGTGTCTGCGTGTGTCTGAGTGTGTCTGTTCCTTCGCTTGAGCCCAGCACCAGGAATTGCCCACACTGCGATACCACCAGGTTGGTCGGGTAATGCTCTAAAAAAAACATGCGTTAGGGGGGGGGGGGTTAGGTTGTGAATATGCATGGTTTAGGCGTGTGAATGTGCATAGTTTAGGTTGTGACAGTGCATGGTTTAGACGTGTGAATGTGCATGAATTAGGTTGTGAATATGCATGGTTTAGGTTGTGAATGAGCATGGTTTAGGCGTGTGAATGTGCATGGTTGAGATTGTGATAGTGCATGGTATAGACGTGTGAATGTGCATGATTTAGGTTGTGAATGTGCATGGTTTAAGTTGTGAATGTGCATGGTTTAGATTGTGAATGTGCATAGTTTAGGCGTGTGAATGTGCATGGTTTAGACTTGTGAATGTGCATGATTTAGGTTGTGACAGTGCATGGTTTAGACGTGTGAATGTGCATGGTTTAGGTTGTGAATGTGCATGGTTTAGGTTGTGAATGTGCATGGTTGAGACGTGTGAATGTGCATGGTTTAGGTGTGAATGTG